GAAGCTGCAGTAAATGCTCTATGACAGGCTTCCTCAAGTAAATCAATGTTTCCTCATTCACAAAAGGACTAAGCAATGAGTTGTTAATCCTCCATAAAACCTTGGTACAAAAAATTTATCTGCCAAGCTTCTCCCAACCAGTAAACTAGTAGCCTAGAAAGAAAAAGAAAGAGGACGCCAGACAGGGACAGGGCCTTCCAATAACATTGAATTTCCAAAAATCACAACTTTGGTAGCAAGATGTTGGAATGCAAAAGAAAGAATCTATGGCATTTTTTTAGATTTTTTTTTTCAAAAGGGTAATTGACATAGGTAGGATTCGAGTCATTTTGTGATAAACTGTCAAGGTTTTTACTAGCCAAGATAGATTAGCATGGCCCTTGCGAAAGGATGACATGCACAAATCGAAAAATTTTCTTAGATATTAGTTGCATGAAATCGTCAATGCAATATAATCAATCCTATGTAAGGCTTGTAAGATTATTCTAATCCCTTGGTACTAAATAGATAATCCAAAGAATGAAACAACAATAAGACAAAAATCTAAATTCACTATCTAAGAAAATTTACATGGTCTAACATTCCTTACATGCATCCACGAAAAAGAATCAAATTCACTATCGAGAAAATACACTATAAGTTTCATTAAATTAATTGAAACTGGAACCCAGAAATCTTAACCTTTCAATAGAAACCTTGGGAGAGTAGTTCTTTTTTTTTTTTACCTTCTCTCCCACCAATATTTAATATGTATAGATTATTTTTTTCGTCAGAAATTTTTTGATACTTAATTCTTTGTCCTCAAAGCAATGTTTTGATAATCTAAAAATAGTTACCAATCCCTAAAGATTTTGGGCATCACTTGTCAACTTACATATGGTATAAGAACAAGTAATCGTGTCTTTTATCAGAGTTTGTAAGGAAAATATCTAAACGACCAATCTGGAAGAGAAAGGATGCAAGAATTACAGACTTACCCCGGACCAGCAAAGCCCACAAAAACCATGTAGCGGCACAGAGACCTCTGTTGTTGTCCTTCTCGGCGTAGAGATCTCTGCCCTTCTCTCCTCAAACAAAGACCCAAACAACGTTATCGAGCCAATCAATGCATTCCGAGTCCACCGAATCGACCTCGGCGGCAACGAAGAAAAAGAAATCTCTACCGGGAATATTCTGAGTCCGATTGGGGAGAATGATGATCTCGGAGCTCATCGGCATCAGGCGGACCTCCGCACTGGCGCAGCCCCTCATCCTCGAGCTCGCCGGTGAGGGCTTCGTCGAGATTCCAAAAAAGAATCCATCCTCCACCAAATACATGAAGAAAAAACCGAAAAAAAATATCAAAATCCATGATTCTTACGAAGGAACTGGACCTCGATTCGGATGGCTTGGTTAGGGTTGGGGGGAGGGCCGGCCTTGCGCTTCCTGCCTCATCTGGGCCGCCATGGTTAAAGATCGGAGGGAGAGCGCGCGAGCGCGAGGTTGTTATAACGAAGTGACGCGTTCTTTTAGATTCGTGCAATATAGTGTCCAACGGTGGAACTCGTTCTATGTTTTTTTTTCCTTGATGGTTAATACTCCCAATTGCAATTTTGATTCATAAAGAAGAATTTTATGGACCTTATTTTGGTAATCTTTATGATCCCAAAAAGAAAAAAAATGATTTATTATTTTTATTTAATAACAAAATTAGTTACCAATTTATATTCTTAGATATAATTCAATGAAAAAAAAATTATGTCATGTGAACTCACATACTGCTTTTTTTTTAAGTAATAAAAAATTAAACACCAAGACCTTGCAAAATTTTTTATTAATATAATTAGTTAGCATATTTCTATTATAAACTTAGTTGATTTTATCTAAATTATACGAAAGATACTCTCGTTTGTCTGTCTATAAAGGATTAATTTTGTTGAAACATCTCATGGTCCCATAATAATATATAAAAAGAAAAAAATTAAACGAAACGTTTAAATTATGATCTCATAAGTAATTTCAACAAATATTTAATAGATAATATAGATTACAAATATAGATTTAATAAATTTTAAACAATCATACATACGATAAAGGACTTAAGGTGACCTATGACAATCAAAAGTTACATAAAGTGTCTATATGACATTGTTATGAATCAAGACGATAAACTAATATTAAATAATACCCTAAAAGCTCATCCAATCAATACTATAATAGTTGATACTTTATATCATTATATGAAGCTAGAAAACCTTTAAAATTAATATATAGATATTTTAATATTATATAACTTTACTTATGTGTACATAACCTACGTTTATAATACTAAAAGAATCATAAAAGCTAACCAAAATGAGATTCTCAAACCTACTATAAGTTATTTATATTGCTATGCAGAGCATAAATAAAATTAAAAAATATAAAATATATATAAATATTATATCAAACAGCATGTGTACATATTTGTCCATGGCATTTCATACTCACATAATTAAACATTAGTTTGCTAATTTTACGTAATTTATAAATTTAAGGGAACCTAATTCTTAGCACCTTTTATCTTGATTTTATTCTAATACTAGAAATACAAATGATCTAGAAACTCAAATTTTATATTATGTTTGTATTAAAAATAGAGATTTTCAAAATATTATATGAACGTAATGGTAAATTCTGTCTTTTTCTCTAATCAGGATGGAGAGAGAGAGAGAGAGAGGAGTTTTCAACATTAATGTTCACAATTATTATACATTCTCTTACCTTCGATTGTAATATTCATGTTCTCATGCATCTATTTACTTATAAAAAAAATATAAATTTGAATCAAATTTACTTTATCTATCTCATTCTTTAAACGTCTCTTTTTCGCAATCTAACTTATCCACTAATTCTATTTCAAACTAATTGATGAGGTCAAATTGAGTGGAGTGCATGCCACACTCATACGTTGCCACGTGTCATCCTCAATTGAATCATAAAGATTTTTTATATCCCTCTTTCGATAGTTTCACACGTAGCTTTTTAATTTCAACTCTTTGAGTTATTTACTAATCTTTAGTTCTATAGACATATAATCTCTTTATATTATATACATGCATATATGAAAAAAAAATCTTTTTGATTCTTCACAATCATACATGCAAACGTGCAAGAAAACCAATCATGTAATCCGCTTAATACAATATTATATTGCTACTTGATCTCCCTTAATAAGTATTTATCGATTTTTTTTTTTTAATTTTTGATAAGGGATAATTTGGTCGATCCATCATTGGTGCGATCTACGAGCGATGAGTGTACCCTTTTGGAGCTCACATATAAGCTCCAAAATGCGTCTCTAAGTGTAAGGGAGACCTAGCGGACTTATAAGCCCTTGGTCCCTTGGTTCCCGTACTTCTCAATCAATATAGGGCTAAATGATTTTATTTATGATAAGGGATAATTTGCTTGGTCGAGGTGCAGGTCTCAGACCCTCCTTCTATCTAGAGCCATAAGGGATAATTTTATTGGTCGACCATTGGTACGGGCCGTAGGCTCGTGAGAAATTGTCCACTTTAGATGATGGGAGTACCCGTATGGTTTTGTCCTTTCAGAACATATGAGCTCCAAAAAATGCCTCTAAGAGTAAAGGAAATCTGACGGACTTATGAACCCTTAATTCTCATACTCCTCAACCAATATGAGATTAAATGACCTTATTAATTTTATTTCATGTATTATATGAGATTCTACTAATATCTCCGTAAAAAATAATGTCGTTTCTATTATATCTACATAAGTTCACAATACGAATATAATAAAGTAATATAAGGTGTTTCCAACATAAAAAATGGTTTTCATAATAGATTGCAAGGGAGAGAAAGTTATGTTCTATGATTCCATGAGAATATTCCCGTTGGTCAAAGGTAGATTATTCCATATAAAGGCAAAGTTTGTCTTCTTATGGGCAGGCAGTCAGGCACGCATCTCATCGAGTCCAACTGCGCTAAGTCAGAGTAGATGTGACGTACAAGGCATTGACTGAGAACATGTCTTCATTTGCGTTGCCGTCCCCTTTCGAGATCAAATTGACATTAATATTTGTCTAAAAATACCTATTGGAAAATTTGAAGGATATTAATTGGAGAATATTAATTTTTTTAATATGAGGGAGTTACATATTTATCCTTACATTGCCCTCCCAATATTTAGATTTTACAATATACATCTATTCAAGTATTCATATCCTCTATATTAATCTTATGTCAACTATGGTGGACAACGAGTTCTAAAATTTAAATACATAAAATATCATTTTTCATTTTCTTTAATTATTTGAATTCTTTAATTTCTGAAACATAAATTTATAGAGGTAAATTTATAATTTTATATGAGGTATTAATATCAATCGAAGTATTGATGTCGATAATATATTAACAAACTTAAATTTAGAACTTTCTTTTATATATATATATATATTATGAATGATAAGTGATGAAGTTGAGATTTGGAGTTATAATCTTATGATAAACTGTCAAAATCTTTACTAACTAAATTAGTTGATGTCTTAAGAGATAATATTAATCATGATTAATATTAATAAATTTTTAATTTTATTCATGATAATATATATTTATATTTATATTTGTCAGAATTTTTACTTTTCACAAAGTATCCCATTTTCAAAAGTTTCACAAAGCATCTCAATTTTTTTAATTTATAGAATTATTATTTTAGTTTTTTTTTTACAAAAGAAATATTATTTAGGATATAATTTACAAAATGAGATGAATTTTAGTGTTATTGAAAAAGGTGAGCACTATATGAAAAATTTGAGTCACTATGCAGGGAAAAGGGAGGTATATATATATATATATATATATATATATTCTATTTAAGAACTTTTAGGTGCAAAAAAGGTCTTCTAAAAATGGAGAAGGATAATTATGTAAAAGCACATAATAATTAAATAAGGTTTAGGTAAAAAGGCCTTCTTTAATACCCGCTCTATGAGTTCACGAAACGGAGGTAGTTAATATCGCTTTCATGGCTGAAGTCAATTCAGCTGCTCCATCTCCACCGCTCTGCACTGTTTCTCTTCAAAGAATTCGTCACCTTCGTTCACCCATCAAATACCGGGATTTCTTTATCGAATTTTATATAGCGGGTCGAATAGAGACAAAAATGTCACCGCGGAATCTTCCCTGTGGTTTGTTCCAATATTCCAGCGCTATTTGGGGGGGGTGTGGCACAGGTAGGTTTTAGGTTCGTGAAAGTTTTGATCTTTGAAGTTTTCTCTGTGCGTTGCAGTTCAAGGTCTCTGATGATGGGGGGAAATGAAGATCTTTCTTTTACTGTGTGTTTCAGCAAATCTCTGATTTTTAGAAGTTATCTGACATAACTTTGGTGATGTCTCAGAAGAGATCGAGGAGTCTGATCCCGAAGCGGTGGTGAAGAAAGGGGTTTTATGGAGATGGAGGGGAGGGGGTACTCGGACTTGCTCAGGAACTCCAGCGAGGAGATGATTCTCAAGTCTCTGATGGAGAATCCGATCGGGAGTTCTGCACCGACCATGGAGATGCCGGGATTTAGGAACACGCCGCAGACGTTTCGAGGAGACAGCGAGGAGCTCTTCAACAGCTGGCTGATGAACGGAGAGGCAAGAATGAAGCTCAAACTTGGACCTATTTCTTCTGTTTTGCTCTTAATCCGCGATAAATATCCAGAGCAATAAATGATTCACGAAAGCAACACATACTTTGTGTTGCAGATTGTTGTTCTACTTCTGGTCAATGTAGAATGACCTAGTTATAGAGTTCTTCAGCATTGAGACGAGAAAAATTTTTAGGGATTAAAGAGAGTCACCTATGATTGTTTGGCCAGCCTGAAAAAATTTATCTAGGTACCTATTACACTTATGGAACGAATTTTGTTTCACTAGAAACAGACATATAAGATGTCGGTGCTTATTTAGAAATATCTCGTGATTAAATAAACATGGAAGCAATTAGAGGAATTAACAACACTCCGAATGTGATAATTATGTGGTACGATGTGTACTTCTTCAACATGAATGGAGAGTTCCTTTTGTTGTAGAATTGTTCATGGTTCCTGAGAGATAGAGAACTCTGAATACTCTATACTCATAAAAGAAGATACGAGTCAGACATACACTAAATTTTGTCTGTGGAGTTTCATGATCGAGGACTACTTTGGAAAATTGCAATTTAAAATCATTGTGTTTAGTTGCGGCTCAGATTTTTAGGATAATTGATTTTGTAGTCTACACAGTGATCACATATTTGATTGATCTTTCTACAGATTCCTGGTTTCAGCTCTCCAAATGGTGTTCATTGTCCTTGGCAACTATCTCGGAAGTAAGTTGACCTACACAATTTGCATCCTGAATATGTCGGCATAATTTTTTTTGTGTCGCTGACCTCATACTATATCTTCTCAAATTTTATTGATTATGCTTTGGAATCAAAAGCTATGAAAACAGAACTTATATGTGAATGTGTTTTCTGAATTTTGTTATAGCTAATTCTTCCTCCTTGCAGAATGTCAACAGAGATCACTGCTTTTGCAAATCAGCAAAATGGGACTGTGCAGAGGCAAAATACAGAGGATAAAAGTTTTAACGTGCTTGATGATCAGTCAAGTGATGTTGAGTGTTCTATCAGGTGGGTCCTGCTCTTTGTAATGATAGTACTAATTTTCTCCCGTTGACATTCCTGTGGACATTGACCGCTGGAGTAAATCATAGCGATAAATTTTACTCGATTGCTGAAATTACCCCAATGAATTTGGACAATAGATTGATCACTTTGTAGTACTAGAAAACTTTTCAGATTTTGATAATGCCTACTGTCTCCATAACTATCTTAGATGAACTTCTCATAACTAATGGCATTGCATGTCTTTTTCATTCATTGACTGATCTGTTGGAGTATACGATCAGGAGAACTGCAGAAAAAAGCATGCAAGCTAGTAATTTGTTGTTGGCCAAGGTAAATTTTCTTTATGAAGCTTTTGGATTTCAACAATTTTGAGCTATTATTGCAAAAAAATATGTTTCTTCTGCAATGTCAAGAAGTATGTGAAGATTTGCTTTTTTTTACATTCTATGCAGGCATGGTTTCACAGTTCTCAGCCAATGACTAGAAGTCGATCTTCAGAGCTACGGTAGAATACTTACTCCTTCATTTGATATTGCCACACTTCATCTCAAAGAAAAAAAACATTTTAAAGTTCTTGATGGATTTCTTTTAGCAGCTTATTTATAGTTTTCGAGCAAATTTTACTTTCCTGGCTAATAGAGTTATTCATTTTTTGCTTCAAGTCATGTTGTTATTCTTAGTTAACTACGAGGATAAATGTTTGATTAGTTCCTTCTTATGATATAGTTGGAAGCTTTATATTTTGTCGTAATCTAGCATTAACAGTTTCCTAATAATTCTGATCTACAATCACATGAAACCCATCTATATTTGTTTAGGAGAAAATTCATTTGTGTTAAGAAGCATAAATGTAATAACCTATCAAAAGCTTTCTTAGCAGCTATGCATATTAGTTTAATAGCAATTTAACCTTCAGTGGATTGGATAGAGAAACATTTCCCATCAGTACAAAGTTAAGCTCATTAGTAAAACTGATGAGGTTAAAACTTGCCTGGCAAGCTCCTATGCAGCTTGATTAAGTTTAAGGAACAGATAAATAAAAAAAAATCACAATTACATTTCAACAACAGCTAGTTACATAATTATATGTTAGTGTTGGCAAAATATTATGTAAAGAGACAAAGTTTGACTGTTCTATTGAGATTCTAGCAAGAGTATCTCACACGGTGTTCAAACAAAGCTTATATAATATCAGATTTTCAGTAATTACTAGACTCTGTCCTTGAGCAGGTTGCTTTTGTTTCAAAATTAAAATGATTTATCTCAAGCTACTCTTGGTTATTAATAATCCAAGATAGAGTGGCCTACCTCCACAAACATTAGATGGTTTGCACCTAGAAGATCAGCATAATCAAGTTTAGTTTGAGGCTTCTAATTAGGCAATTAAAGCCTTATAAATAGCAAGTTTGATCTCATTTAATAAGCCTGAAATTTTGTTGACCTACATTGTTGGAACATTTGTCTTCAGGAGGAGGTATGCTGCCATGCAAAACAGCCAAATGCAAGCAATTGCCGAAGCCCAAAATAACATCATAGTAGCAGGTATTGAGAAGGGGAGGCAACAACTTACGAGTGACTTATGTAACATCTCAATGGGGGAGACTGCCAGTCAACTTCAGACATTCATGTCTCCATCTAATTCAGCTACTTCTCCATTTGACGCTCCATTGGCAACAGTCGATATGGTTTCTTCTGTTGTGAGCATGCTTAAAGATGCACTGGAAACGAAGAAGCTTGGTAGACAAGTTGATGGTGAAACTTTAGAAGGAAGTTCTTATGGGCTTTTAAATGTTCAACCAGAAGGAAATAGAATCTGTAATCAAGATGCCACAGATCAGGTTCTCTGGCCACCCAACACATTTGATTTTGTATCCTCCATTCATGAGCAAAATTCAAGAAACTCAAAATTTGAGAAGCCCTTGGAACTAAACATGGACGGATTTGTTCCTCCAGCAAATCAATTCCGAACTGCCACAATCTCACAAGAACCATCACAGAGTGGATCATCAACTGCTGTGCCAACGCTTTCAACCGGCTTTGAAGTATGTGATGATCTTTCCAACTCAACACAAACTATTTCTGTTTGTGAGAGTTCCAAAAAGCATACCGGAAATGGAAATTTGAATCATAAGACTAGAGGTCTGTCGCAATTTTTATGACTGCAATTCACAGTTTTGGTTGATCAAGCACTTCCAGTACTTCTTTAGCTTTTCTTGCATATACTTCTGAATTTCTGTACATATGCACATCCAAACCTAGAAGTCTGGAATCAGATCCTGCATATAAATTAAATAGATCTTGATATAATCTTCTACAGTGGAGATTTACTGAAAACTAACTTGTGTGAGCACTAACTTTAATTGATCTCAAAAGACAATATTGCTTTTTTACCCATTACAAGTAGTATAAATGTATATCCTTAGACAATTCGTGATTTAATTTCATTGCAGAAAACAGAGAAAAAATGCTACAAAGCAACTTCAAGGATGATAGGAAGGTATGTACTCTGATAGCAAGATAAAAATAATTTTCTTGGTAAAAGCATTATTTACTTTTTATCACTCAATCATTTGGCCTCTATTTACTTTTTCAGAAAGGAAATCCAGTTCTGATGGGATCAGTTTCCTCAGGAGTTTTAGGTACCTTTAAACAAATTCTCATTATTTTCGCAGCTCCTTGCCTACTCTTGGCATCTATTCTGTGGAATATCTTTATGTAGATCATTCCGAACTATATGACAAAAATGATCTTCATCTTCATCTTCATCTCATATATAGGCTTATATGATTCGTACAGTTCTTGATCCATCATCTGAGGTTTGGTCATTTAAAGATAGCCCGATTATGTGGAGATGATCCTATTCCACAATTTTTTTTCACATCTTAATGATACTTGAGATAGCTCATTGCTTATAATTTGTTTTATTTCACATGACTTAGTTTATTTGTATTCTAGTCTTAAATCTTAACCAGAAAAGTGTTATGCAGAAGACAAGGGTGATTCTACAAAGAAACGCAGGGTTGAGCGCTCACGAAAGTACGTATCCTATAACTTGAATGCCTGTTATCATATCCTTGTTTGTAAAAGCTTTGCTAAAAGAATCGTCTATTTCTTGATACTGTAGTAACCCTAAGTTACATTTGCTAAAATTAAGGTCTTAAATTTCCAGATGTCTTTTAAGCATGAAAAACTTTTGGGGGTACTTTCAAACCATGAAATTGTATCTTCTGGTTGAGTCTTTCAACAATTTTGAGTACAGCACAAGGGATTTGCAATCTCTCACAAGACATGATATCACCAAAGGCCACACATGTTTTCTTGCTTCCCCTTTTATCTCCACAGGACTTTGGAAGCTTCAGTAAACATGGATGTAATTGTGCTTTTCTCTAGCAGGGTCCTTTGTTATATGATAAATTTTCATATTATATTCTCAACCCTAACCTTATCTTGCTTATGATTTTTGGCAATTTTAACAAGGTAGTACTTCCATCCTCTCCTGTAATATTGAGTACAGTACAAGGGATTAGCTATCCCTCACAAAACATGATTTTACCAAAGGTGACATGTTTTCTGAATCCCCTTTAATTTTCACATTACTTTAGAAGCTTCAGTATCAATGCAATTGCTTTTCTCTAGCAGGTTCTTTGCCACATGATAAGAGTTCCTACTTTAGTCTCAACCCTAGCCTTATCTTGCTTATGATTTTTAGCATTTTGACAATTAGGTAGTATTGACATTCTCTCTTGTAATCTCTCTATTTCCTTGCAGGACTTGCCACAAAACTTTCCAACAACAGTAAACATCAATTTTCCTGAATGGATTAGCATATTTTCTAGTTTCTAAAGATGCTACAAACTGGTGAATTCTTATCAGTTTCAATGGAGAATGGGGATCTATTTAATTCGTTATCTGGGTCAATAATGATTACAAGAAGGCTAGACTGCATATGTACTATCCCACTAACATTAAATTAATAAATTGATTTACTAGTTAGCTAACCTGATCATAATTTTTACAAAATTTGGAGAAGGTCATACAATTTGCATGATGTCAATGTTGAAAACATTTTTGTTGTTGGTTTAAAAATTTGAGTTTGATGGTCATGCTTGGTGGTTCAGAATGGCAGAAGCAAAGGAAAGAAATTTGGCACCAATGTTGCCATCGGATATGCAATCAGTTCTAAAGCGCTGTGAAACTCTTGAGAAGGAAGTGCGCTCACTCAAGCTTAACCTTTCATTCATGAATAGGTATGTAATGATGCATATCACATGTTTTACACTTTTATGGTCCTTCATTGTCAAGAACAAAACCCTCAGTTCAGCTTGTTATCTTATTCTTGAAGTTATGCTTATGTTTGCAATTGCAATAGGATCTTACTCTCTATTGATCAAGAGACTGTTGTCACAATTCCAGGAAGGATTCTGAGCAAACTAAACAAATCGAAGAGCTTCAAAAAGAGAATGAAGATCTAAAGGATGAGAAACGGCGCCTTGTTGAAGAGATCGAAAGGATTTACCCTGAAAGTGGTAGTTGGTGATACCTTGCAACTGACTCCTGCATAAATATTGTGTTCATAATGTCTAAACACAAACAAACTTAGCACACAAAAGGAGAGATCTCCCCGGAAGTTGTATACTTTACATAAATTATAGATATGTATATTCCAAGTAAACTGTTTGGATATTGGTTTCCATGGGTATAGAAAGATTACTCTGAGTCTCTTTGGAACTCTCAATGAGCTAAGATTGTTCTGTATTACTCATTACATTAACTGATATATTCTTCTTTGAGCAGTTCAAACACAAAACACTTGATAAAATCTATGCATCCAGTTTTTTAATCCCAACCCTCCTGATCGCATTGTATGTGCCAAGAATTCATCTGTCCTCATCCTGTGAACACTAGATAGGGTCTGATGTGCCTAAGTTATCTTCGAAAACATATATACCAAAGATTTAGTATTTTACAAGAACTAGAATGACAATTTCTTGTGATTTGTTACAATTTTATTCCTTTCAAGCAAAAATTAAAATCGACTCCCTTACACATGATATGAATTGTGGTTAGGGATAAAAGGATGAGATTTAGTGATGTAATAATATATTTTGTCGCTATATATACATGAAGTAACAATAAATGATGAAAATCATAGTATAATTAACCAACTTTTTATTATACTCAAAGTCATAATTTCTTATTCAATAATAACAATAAACTTTAATATTTTAATTTTTTCTTAAATCAATAGTAGTAAAATCTTTAGCTTACAATAAAATATTTTTAGATTTTCCTCTACATCATCTCATACCACTAATTTAATTACATGGCATATATATCCATATGATCTTTGATAATTCTTCCTCATTTTATTATGAAGTTTTTTTTTGGGCAATGATTATTATTAGTATATGTAAAGAAGAATCCACTGCCACCATGTTTCATGCCTTATCTTTGAGAAGCTCTCCATTTGCATGCAAAAGGCCATTCTACAGTGCATTCTCTTCTCAGAAGACTTCAGCACCTTATCTTTAATACTCCAACTTGATCCATAGCCACAAACAGTTGGGTGTTCTGTTCTCATCCAGATGTGATTCTTTCCATTATTCAGTTCCATACAACCACAGAGATGACCCACTAGGCTCCAAGTTGAGCTAAAAATATTCTAGGTTAGGTCAATGCCATTATAATTTGATTATGGAGTAGAACTAAACAAAATGTATAGCCAAATTTGATCTGCTTTATTTTTTTTCAGATTTTTTTAACCTGTCATTTGACATTTTATTTACTCTCACTTGGGATATAATAAGCCAATTAATAAGTCAATTATCATATCCAATCCAATTATGTCATATGTTGTGCATACAAATGGTTTTGCAAATAAAATCATTAACACTTGGATTCTATGCTAATCATTAATCTTGTATTTACATTTTCCATATCAACATTAACACTGCATTCTTAGTGAATGAATCAAATGAAGGGGGGTAAAGTGGCATACACTACTAGAATTAAAAGTATCCCCAAAATCAAGTGGACAAAATCTATAATAAAGCTAATTCTTTTTTTATTTTTGCTTTGGTTAAAGTAAAGAAAGTGTAGATGTTTATATAATGAATAATTGTGTATGATTATTAAAATTATACAAAGAAGTTAAATAATTAATTAAAGTACAAAGTACACCTTGTAACATAATTTACATCATTTTTTAATCATAAGATACTAAAAAATAATAAAGCATTTAATATATTTATAATAAAATATAAAATTCTCATAAAAAACTTATAGAGGGAGGATATAGTTAAGTTGGATGCACACACAACAACATGTGGTAAGAATATACATCAAATAATGTCTCATCTTTTAGTAAAACTTTTATGGATTTAATAATATTGATAAAAAAATTAATATGGCATAGAAGAGGAAGACTTTGTGTGTAAATCTCATTCATATCATATATCTCCAGTCTATTCAAATTCTACATATTAGGTTTTTAATATGCAAATAAAACAATATATCTGTGGTTGAACTTAAAGTTGGATTTGAGCCTATATATTAATTGCTTGAGTTCTTATATGCAATGACATTAATTAAAAATTAATAATGTGAATACATGGCCGCATGCATACATACATTATGCTACACCCAATTCCCCATACGTATTTATGTACGTCACGATTCGTACGCGACGCACGGGGAGAAACAACACGAGAACGAGTCGTCCGATCTACCGCTATAAATAGCACCCGAGTCGATGTAATTTACTCACCGAGTCGGATTCCTTATCCGTGTCATCGGCAACCGACCACCCACGAGGCGAGCCCGTGCGGCTTGAAATATCTCTCTCGTTCGTCGCCACGGCGTTACATTGTACCCGGATATGTTCCCGAAATGTGATTGGATAGAACGCTGGATCTATTTGTGGGACCCTGATTATTAAATGGGTACAAGGAGGGTACCGAGACACAGGGTCGGAGAATATTGTTCATGTTGCTGAAGGATTCGTTTAGTTGAAATAATTCCTGCGGAGCAGTATATCTGCTGCCCTTGGGTATATAAACAGGAGCGTTCCTCCCGTCGATGCTAATCCCTATTTGGTCCTTAGTCCTCGGTGATTTCGTTCTGTTCGGTCTTCGCTCACGGCGCGGGGCGAGGAAGGTTCTGCTGGAAGGCGGCGAGGTATTGATCTGATCTCTGATTCGTCGGTGTTCGTGTCGTTTCGTTCTGTCGGGAATCGTTCTCGACTAGTGGATCCGTGGTGCCGGTGCTAGTGGATCGAAACCCTAGGGTTTGGATCTGGTTCTCGGTTTGATGGTTGATTTGCGGATTCGAAACCCTCGGTTGCGTTTGATGGATTGTTAGATTTTCAATTTGTCGGTGAATTTTGTGGATACGAGGGATTGTCGTGATGTAAGGGGTATGGTCGTTTGACCTAGGGTTCTTGAGCCATTATCTGTTGTAGCTTTGATGATACCTGTGCTAGATCTTGGATTTAGAGGTGATTAGTGATTGTTTTGATGAGAGGCTTGAGATGTTTGTTGATTATTTAGGTTGTTAAGAATGAGCGTTAAGTTTGATAGTGAATTTGTTGGTTATGGTGTGTTGATGGTTAATTTGTGGATTCGAAACCACGGATTGTGTTTGATATGGTGTTAGGGTTCCATTTTTCGGTGAATTTAGTGGATACGAGGGATCATCGTGATACAAGGGGTTTGATTTAGGGTTTTTGAGCCATTATATGTTGTTGCTCCGATAGTGCCTTGCTAGTTCTTGGATTTAGATGTGATTAGTGATTGCTTGATGATTAGACTACTACTGAGATGTTTGCTGACTCTTTCGGCTGTAAAGGATGAGCGTCGAGTTTGATGGAAGCATGTGTTGATAACTTGGCTCGTGGTTTATAAGCATAAGAATGTACTATTTGATCAACTTTTTTTTGCTGTAGTTTTTTCCATTCAAGTGTTTTTGTGAATCTGCAGGCATAGAATTATATAAGGCTGTTGCTATTGAAAATAAATTATGCACATGTCCTTGATATATTGTTGCTGCTGTCAAGGATCCATCCACATTACTTTTCCTGTTGAATTGGACATATGAAAGGTTGAGATTTATTTATTTTTGATCGAGATATTCGGGCACAAACATGAACTCCTCTAATTTTAAGGAAATGTTGACTTACGGAATCCTTCAATTGATAATATTGATTTTAATTTTTCAGATGATAAACCTGGTGTAAACTCCTATGCCAGGATTGATTATTGTAATATATGGACTGACAATTCAATGGCATTGAGTGTGTCGTTTAGTGGAAGTAGTCTTCTTGCGATGCCTTGCAGACAAAATTTTTTATGTGTATTGTTCAATGTATTATTATTATTTCCTCTTGTGGGATTCTTGTGAGCAGCTTTCTGATAATCTTGTATATGTGGCATGTTTGTGCCTTTTCTTTTTCCAGGTTACACGCTTGTGTTCTCCTGTTTGTAGTCTTACCTGATACATGGAGCAAGTGCGCTTTTGGTTAAGCTACTTTAACTGCCGAGTCTTGTTTCTTGATGGAGCTATTGATTGGCGGCTCTCTGTTCATGGAGATTTCCTTCTCACCTCCTTTGTCAACTGCACTTAGAGGCCAACTGCTTTCTACATCCAAAGGCGGCCATGCAGCTTTTTTGTGAAGTTGGTGTAGTGTTTCTAGTGCAGCCTTTTGACTTGATTTCTCGCATCTTCGTGTGTGCAACATACTTTTGCTATCAACAGCTTTGACATTTCCATATGGCATTAAGTTGCCAATGCAGCTTTCTGTTAGAGCTTATGTGGAAATCTCATGATCCTGTTGGTCAAAAATAACAGGCTGGTATGGTTTTGGACATAGACTTCTTATATTTCAAATCGAACATTTATATGCTCTAACCATTGAATTATGGGCTTTTTATTGCAGGCGTCATTTCTCCTGGCTCTATTCTTTCTCCATACTGTTCCAGCTGTTGGATTCTCATTGTTTCAGTTCCATTGGAGGTTTTATGCATCTTCCTCATAGAGTCAATAAATCGGTCACAAGTTGGTTAGGTAGCTCCACAGGTCTTGCCTGACTGTTGCACTTCTCCACTGTGTTGGCTGATATCATCCCACAACACTTTGTTGTTGCTTTACTCTACTACACTGGCAAAGTAGATGATTGTCTGAGAACTATACCCAGCAAGCTTTTGTAAGATAGTTGGATCTTATCCATCAGAATGATATTGTCCTCTCTCACTTTGTTCCAAGTTTTCCCAAGTATTTCTTTGTTCTCGGTTCTTCTTTTCAAGCACACGGCTTTAGTTAGGTGGCATATGCTTTGTGCATAGGCAAACCTTCTCTTGAATAGGACAATAGTGAGCATACATTCAGCAAAACATGGAAAGGTTAGTTTTCTTTTTTACAACTGGTGGTTTCTCTTCTAATGTTAATGAGTTGTGCTCAATAGTGTTACCCTTGGCTGCAGGTACATGGTAATCAAGGAGGTTGGAGATGGAACTTTTGGGACTGTATGGCGAGCAATAAACAAACAAAGTGGTGAAGTGGTATGTATCGTTTAATAGCAGGCCACTGTGCTCAGACAGTTACTTCCTTTGTGTCAGTATGATGCATCTGGCTATTGATTTTTGGTGACACTTGAATCTCCTGTAAATGCAGGCATTTCTACTTGCACCTTTAAATATAGAGTGAAATGCTACAGTTCATATTATTATTTTTTATTTGGGGAAGTTGGTGGCTTTGTAGACACATTGGAATGAAGTTATTTATGATGATTAACTCTAGCAATTTGGTCTCTTTGGTTGCCAGCTCTAACTTTGGTCTTGACAGGTTGCTATTAAGCAAATGAAAAGGAAGTACTACTCTTGGGAGGAGTGTTTGAATCTCCGAGAAGTGAAGGTAACATAAAATGTTAATGTGCACATGATACTTTTTTCTTTTTATATTCTCATAACATGGAATTCAATGATTTTCAGTGTCTGCGGAGACTGAACCATCCAAATATTATCAAACTTAAGGAAGTCATTAGAGAGAATGATGTGTTATACCTGGTGTTCGAGTACATGGTAGGCCTTTTTGCTAGCTCTAATTTTGTTGTATGGGGTTTGTACTCAGGTTTTCAATAAACTTGTTATCAGGAATGCAATCTTTACCAGCTTATGAAAGATAGGAACAAGCCTTTTACAGAGGATGAAATTCGGGACTGGTGCTTTCAGATATTCCGAGCACTGGCTTATATGCACCACCGTGGTTATTTTCATCGTGATCTTAAGCCTGGTACCACTCTCTTGTTAAAATATTCTTTGATCTTTGGATTCACATTTTTGCATTGGTACCATACAAACTGTGAATAGTTTAGCTCATTAACACTGTCTTGAATAGCTTACTCAGAAATGGAATCCAACAAATGTCAACTGTGGTTGACAATAGACTACCAACTGAGACAATTTTTTTATTTGGAATCCAGATAATCATATCAGCTTCCGTGCTAAATCCTTTGTTTCAATTTCTGTTATATTTCCTGGACTGAACTGGACTTAAGATATGCAAATCGAGGATTGCAACTTATTGCATGAGTTTATGCAAATCGAAGATAGCTATATGGATCTTAAATTCTATTATTTATTTTCTCGACAAGAACTTATCATGAATTAAATTTCTTTGGCTTTGCAAGTTTTAGCTAGTGAATACACAAAAAATGTCCATTGTTTTGTATTCAGTTATTATTTGGTGGATAAGTTATTCTGGCTTTTTGTTGCCTTGGAGTAAATTTGTTTTGGTAGATGATTGCTCTCAATTTACAACATAGCATCTATACACCACCATATTGGTGAAAATGGCCTTCTGCTAAACAAGATCTATGCCCTTTGCAGAGAACTTACTGGTAACAAAGAATGTTCTAAAGATAGCAGATTTTGGCCTTGCTCGTGAAGCCTTGTCGAAGCCACCATTCACAGAATATGTCTCCACGCGGTGGTAAGCATGTTTGACTATTCCTTCTTTATGTGTCATCTTATAGAAGTGTACTTATATTCTTATCATTATTGTGTGATTTGTTGGTTGTAGGTACCGTGCTCCAGAAATTTTGCTTCAATCTTCTGTTTATGATTCTGCTGTTGGTGAGTGCACTAGTAATAGTTTCATGATGAGAATATAATATAATTTTCTGTTATCTGCATCTTTGATCTTATTGTCATGTACGCATTAGATATGTGGGCAATGGGAGCTATCATGGCTGAGCTTTTTACACTACGTCCCCTTTTTCCTGGATCAAGGTACTTGTTGATTTAGATACATGTTTTAAATATAAAAAAAGATATTGTTACTTTATTTAACATATAAAGTGGCACTTAATGTCCTCTTTTGAACTCAGCAATACGTGTTTTTGTTGGTCTTATTTCCATGCTGTTAATTATGTGTTATTAAGGAGGTTGTTTTGGGTTAAATGAATAAAAAATCAACATTTGCAGGTTCTGCAGTCAAATTACCTCCATGTAACTGAATTATAAACCTGCAGTTGTTGTTTGGACAAGCGGTGTCATTTATCTAATTTTTGAAATCATCTATTTGAATTTTTTTAAAAAAATTTTTTTTGTCAAAAATGTCATTTGTATAAGTGACCTAAAATCTTTCTACTGGACCTGGTTTTGATGTTTGGTTATTATACTTTTGTACCCTTTTAGCAATCATGCTACATGAGATGAATAATAAATTTGATTATAGTTGGATGGCTGTATCAACATTTACTGATGTGTCTTCTTGTTTGATGTCTCAATTCTGTTTCTATGCTGCTGAACTCATGTTATTTGGCTTATAATTCAGTGAAGCAGATGAGATATACAAGATTTGCAGCATTCTTGGACCACCAAATCAGAATTCTTGGGCTCAAGGGATGCAACTTGCAGATGCTATGAAATTTCAATTTCCACAGGTTGTGTGTTGTTTTGTTATATTTATCTTTTCCAGTTTCCAGATGCATTTTTTTTCCCTTGTTCCTAGTGTTGTGTAGTTTGGATTGGCTACCTCCCACCTGATCACATGCTACGACTGTAGTGAAATAGGAATATTCTGTTTGAGAAAAAGTTTATTTGTTGCTTGCTTTTTTGAAGTATTGGTTACTTCTACCTGGTTTCTTGCTACAACTTAAAATAGGAAAGCTCCTTTAAGGAAAGTGCTGAATGTTGCATGCTTTTGTCTAAGTATTCATTAATCCACCTGGTCACTTGTTGCATTTGTGTCCCAAAACAGGTAAATGCAATTTAATTGAAAAATAATCCTAAAACAGGTAAATACAATTTAATTAAAAAAAAGTTACTTTCAATAGCCTCTCTACTTATAAGATTAAGGTTGCACGCATTGATCTTTCGTGTACCCTGCAGTGGAGGTGGATTCATCTTATTTTGAATACTTGTTTCAAGCAACAATAGTGGATAGCAGGAAATTTTATGTTATCGATATCTTTATCTGATCTTTGTTTCTTAGTATATAATATGGTAATTACTGTGATGAGCCCTAGCACCATGGTAATTTCTGTAATCTGAGTGTCAAGAGTTTGAGTAAAAAAGAACCTCTTTGCTTAACATAAGGCCAAAACACTGTTTTACAATTTTTTTTTGTTCTTTAAATTCAATTGAGGAACATTGCCTTCTCTTGTCTCCAATCTTGAAGACACTTTTTGTGACATTTGCACTCCTTTCATCTCAGCTTGCCAGTGTCTCCCTTTCTTTGCTAATTCCTTCAGCCAGCAGGGATGCAATCGACCTTATCTCGGTAAGCTACATCTTGGATGAGTCTGCTCTTTTGAGTGGATATGGGTTTGAGAAACAGGGTCTTATCGAAGGTGTTCAATCGTTAAGGTTATAATTCTTCCACTATTATTTGACAGTCACTTTGTTCCTGGGACTCCATCCGAAGGCCCACAGCAGCAAAGGTTCTTCAGCATTCTTTCTTTCAGGTGATACATTGAAGTTTAGTAGTGCTGAATGTGATTCACTGAGAAGGGTGTATGCAAAGAAATTACAAGTTTTGGATGCTCATCATATTTGTTAATAATGTTACAGCCTTGTTTCTACATCCCACCGTCCCCTCGTTTAAGATCAGAGGGAGTGCAGAAGACACCATCATCTGGTTTTTTGTCCTTTCCGACCCATCCTATGCTTGTCATCTGATTTATTACAGTATTGCAGACTCTATTTAGGTGATTTTTACTCTTTGATCTTTTAGTTGGCACGAGAGGAGCTTTGGCATCGGATACTGCTAGAAGAAATTCTGTTGGAGTTTTATCCAATACAAGGCCGGTATACAATTTCTCTTCCACAAGTGTAAATGAGTCTTTCAGGATGACAGGTGAATCCCTATAAAAATTTTGTTGCATTCAGCATGTAGTTTACTTTTTCTTTCTTTTGGCTTATTTGATAGATTATCTTCCAAACCAATTCTCTAGCAACTTGGGTTTTGTTATGTGGCAGGCATACAAAGGAGGCTGGAGCTGGGTCATCAGGTAAGACCATTTGTCTTCACATGAGAGTGGTCATGTAAGAAGTTGTGGATCGTCACTGGTAAAACAAAATCACAGGAATACCAGAAGGAAAGACTTGCCAGGAATGAGGTTAAACCATATGTACGTCAACCAACTACAAGAGACTTCACAGGTATTTTCCCATGGTTTACATGTCTGACATCTCTCTACTACATGATTTGATTACTAAATAAAACAAATGACAATGATCTTCTCATAACCATTGTAGTCCTAAAATGACCAACATGTGACTTTTTGTACCCTACTCAGGTAGCTTATTAATTACTTTTGTTTAGAATCTCAGTGGGATTTGATGGTGCAAATATCAAATGATTAGTGAATTTGAATTTTTCCAAGTGGAACTGATTCTCTGTGCAACTTCAATTTTGATGGCAGGATTACCTGGTAGAGATTCCCAGAGGACTTGCAATGTAGTCGAGAAACTGGGTCACTTGACTCTCAGCTCAAACAGAGGTTCGGATATATGTGGCAAGCTGCCGCAGCTGAAACCACAGCTAGGGAGGCAGCCTCCTCCTGCCATGAAAGCTGGAGCATGGCACGGCCATTCTGCCTTTCCTGGCCGACCTCATGACATCCCATCGGCCCCTGGCTACTATACAAGAAAGGTGGCAGGCTAAAATAAGGTTATCGCCAAGAAAAAGTAGAGAACCGTGTTGCCTGTATTTTGGGATCATGTGTTGGATTTGCTCATGTTTTGTGCCTATCTTTGGTGAATAATGTCGCATCGTAAGACGATCATACTATGTCGTTCAAGTTGGATATTTTCAGGGTGTTACTTGTGCTATCAATCTTAGTAATCAAAGGACTCGCTATTATTGGGTTGTGCGTGTGCGTTAGATGATGGTCCTGCAGTTGGCATGTTGCGGACAATCTACTACAGCAAGCAGGAAAGTTTAAATGAAAGCGGATCATGTGTTGGAAATGACAACTCTTTTTAGAATCTAAATTCGAAGGTCAACGTGCTATATTGCAAGAAGTGACATTTTATGGCTGACATTAAGGGAAAAAAACACATCTTATTTGCCAGTCATAAAATTATAAATGGATTGTTTGATATAATGTTCATATATTTTTATTTTATTCATTGTATAGCATATAAAAGTTCGTTGTTTTATTTCGTAGTAGTATCATGTAGGTACTTACGAGGATATTTGGTTATACGAATCACCTTGAATCTTTTGTTGTGTGATCGTTCGAAGCATACAAAGTATTATGTTTGTAATTTATGTTGTATATTAAGTGTTTGCTAAAATAGTTATTAATGTATTCTGAATTAAACACTTTCTCGAACTCATATGCAATTTTGTAGGTCCTTACAGGACCATAATAGATTTCGGGAAGGTTGAACTTTTGCAGACAAACACGCAAGAGTATGTATGACCTAGGCAAAACCAGTTAAGTCTATGATAGATACTATAAGACAAACATGAGGAACCTAGTAAGGTTGTGTTGAGGATAGCTAACATGCACGATCGTTTGGGAAAAATAAGCATTGATATATAAGGATAGGAGTTGCTTAGAGGAGTAAGTATATGAGATTAGCATTCAGATAAATGGTTAACCTTAACCATTTGCACGAGAGACATCACGAGGACAAGCGAGCTAATAAGAACATGTGGTGCAAAAGGATTAGGATGGTTAAAGTTGAGCTACAACTCGGCGTTGGCAACCAAATTTGATGGTGCTCAAGGCAAGTGGAGTGCTTGGCAAAGAATGAGACCATGTAAGGTGAGATGAGTTGTTCAGCGATCGAACGAATTATGCAAAGCTCACAAAGGTGAGCGGAATTAGTAATTCGAAGAATTCGATACTCATATAAAGACTTGTATGTGGAGAATGAGTTGCCTATGGCCATCCTAAGGCGATCGAAACTCGATGTTATAGAGCATTGAAACTTTCTCTTCAGCATGGGAAGGATACATCTATAGGAGGCTGAAGTGTGTAGCAAGTTCTGTATGTTGCTAGGCCTTAAGGGGTGCAGCGGGGGTTGTATTGGTGAAGAGTCATAATCTAGCAAGTGTGTTCGCGGGGGCAGGATAATGCATAGTTTATTCAGCAAAGCAAAGTAGTCTAAGGGGATGGTGGTCTTCGAAACTTCCAGATGGAAGGATCCGAAAAGAAAAATTGCTCCAACGAGATATATATCCAAGAGGGATAAATCTCAGTTCTCTAGAGGGAGAATCATGTGCAATGAGTCGCACATGTTAAGGAGGGGTACCTCAAGACAATAACTCCACAAAGCTCAATGGACCGAGTAAGCGATGAAGAGTCGTTATATGATCATAAGGTAATGTATTGTAAGATCAAGTGGGGGGAACGACTTAAGACAATCCAAGCAAATGTACACTTGGAGTCAAAGTGAAAATATGACTCAACAAAGGGTTAATCGGTGGAATAGTGGGCGTGAGGGCCATCATCAACTCAATGCAAACCAAGGAGCAGAGCAATTTGGGTTGAACTTGGCAAAGTGCTCAAGTCACATGAAGGGAGTCAACATAGAAGCCGAAACATAGAGCGGAGGCACGAAGTTTTCCTTGGACAGAGGTCAAGGACATGAACTCTTACAAAGGTAAGAGCAGGATCATGTCGTTCCATGGGTCCCATAATCTGATGGAGCAAACTCATCCTGCATGGTGCCAAAGTTGAAGGGAGCTTCAAAGCACATACACTTATCTCACCGAAGCATTTGATAGAAGAACTAAGACGACTCAACTTGCGGAGTATTTTTAAAGAATATATCATAGTGTCATCATTCAAATTGCCACAAAGGAATAGTATACAACAGAGATTGTGTTGAGGGATAGAGGCCCATGATCTAGAGAATGACACACCAATTTTAACGAAGTCAGTGGACTTCGAGAGCTATTAGGAAACGAACTATCCTATAGTTGTGCTTCGTCCAAGTGTGACCCTAGAGCAGGTGGACGAAGGTCGATTGTCAAAAGAGCGAACATAATCTAAGGTGGCAGGGGTCCTATGATGTGCTGGTATAGACCACACATAAAGAGATTGCAATTCAAGTTCATCGCATAAAGATCAGAATGCAATGAAGATGTCACCATAAGATGACATGGTGCAACAGATTGTGGTGGAACAGTTCGAGACAATACAATATACGCGGGAGATGTCTCGCGAGGGATTAAATCATACGAAGGTATAATCGGGAGCTAGTGTGAGCTTCATTTTGATAAACCACATGACGACAAGAAGAGCTATGGATTCAAGTGAATGCCATGGTACCACATAGATGAGTCTTCCATACGCACATGAAATTTTATATCAGATGAGAGCCTTGGTCATCAGCATATAAGGGTGGTGTACCACTAAGGGGGAACACTGAGTACAAGTACTAGTGAGTCCTATGGGTGGGGCTTAATCATATAGACATATGATCGAAGCAGCTAGAGAGTTAGATTGCTCCAGAACTCATATTTGTTTAAGGGAGCTTGATAAATTAAAGGACAAAGTCGAGCAAGTGAATGTTGTTACTGAGGAAACAAAGGAGAACGAAATCGGCATGAGCCCTACAACATGATGGCAAGGGAGGCCATATATGAGGGTTGCTATTTGTCTTTTTATCGACCAAGGAGAACTACTCAGAGAATACATAAGTGTTGAAGTAGGTGATAAAAAAAGACGAGAAAGCGACGACGAGTTCAAAGAGACTCAGCTACCTAAAACCAAGTATTGGTTAGAATAGAGATAGACTAGAAGTACCATAGTGCGACGAACGTAGATCTATTGATCGTGAAGAAAGGGATGTAGATGCGAGGCGATGGATAGTAGGGCCATAGGCATATGAGTGCGATGGCATTGAAGAAGCGAGATTTTCGTGGAGTCATCGATCCCTTGCTCTCATGAAGGGAATGCGTTTGGTCATGATAGAGCGGCGGAGGTGGAGAATGCAAAAGTAAATTTCAAGTACCAAGACAAGGTTGAAGGGCAAAGGCTAGAGAACTTCGTAAGACCAGTGTCAACTAGCTTCTCATCAAATAACCGAAAGTGGAGGATTTCAAGTCGATACAAGAGTGCTCGACCAAGGAGTGAAGTAAGTAGTACGTGGTGTTATAACACTTCTACTCAGAGAACTAGGGGATAGAAATGATGGAGAAGACGATACAATCCCAAAAGCGACCAAAACTATTAAAGACTTGCTCTAAGTCAAGGAAAATTTAATTTTTTTAGGAAAAACTTCTTGTATTCCAGAAGTTCGATGGCAATAAGAAGACGAATCACAGTAGCTAACTTAATGCAAAGAGTACAAATACTTCAGGTGCTTTGAAAGTCTGAGCATAGAGCAGGTAAAAACTAGTAATCGACTTGATGCATGGAGTATAACTCTCGATAAGACTAGCGAAGTTGAGTAACCTTTACCTTCTCAACCCTTAAAAGAATGGGCAAAATTGAGTATCCTCGTTCTCTTATTTATCTAGCGGAGGAGCTCTGTATATATTCAAAGACCATTCAAAGAAACTGAATGGAACACAACAGTTGTCAAATCCTCACTAATGGTGATCGATGCTACTAAGAGTAAATTGTCTGCTTCATTTCCCATCAGAATGTCAATTAAAAGTGAAAGTGATACAAACCTACTTTGAGGTAACAACTAAGTAGAAGAGGGATCAATGGGCAAATTTTATAAAGAAAAGACCCTAAAAACTTCAAAGTCTACCAAGCAATGCTCATTAAAGCTCTAACAGACATCTATCCCGTTCAAGCGGCATGAGATATTTGAGAGACTAGTACATAATAAGAAAGATCTTTTCCTTCCTCCGAAGGATCTGTAAGAACCAATAAAAATCAGCATAACTTAGCCAACCTCATACCAAAGTTAGAGTTATTGGCGAGTTGAAACAACATGGCGGATTCAAGTTTAACTACTCAATAATAGCGACGAGAAAGCAGTTAAGAGCTAAGAGGCACATTGTAGTTGGAGCAAAATTTTGAAGATTCAGCAAAGGCGAAGAGATGCAACGTCTGCAAAGGCTTTAATGAGGACGTCGAAGGAATAAGTATGGGAGAATATCACGAAAAAAAGCTATAAATTGGATGCTTGATGTAATGCTCATGTGTGTCCGTGTCTTTTGATTTTATTTATACTTTGCAAAGCATGTTGAGGGCTTGCAGTAGGTTTGACAGCCCTAGTTTGGTTGACTTTTATGGTTATTTCAGGCTTGTAAACGTAGGTTGTGTGCGGTCATTGTGCAAAGGCAAAACTACCCAAAAACAAACCATTAAGGTAGTCATTTTGAGGGTTTTCTAACTCAATAGAGAGGTATAGAGTGTCAGCCAGTATAACATATAAGAGCTAGCCAAGTGACACATGATTAGAAGAGCCTTTGGAGTAGTGTCTACTCATTGCCTTGTTCCGTAATAGTGTCAAGTGGGCACCTGTATGAACATTTGGTCGCCACGAACCACATTGGATCCTTTGTCGAGCAACCATTCAGAGTTTACAAAGTTCATGTTTTGTAATTTGCATTACTTATCAAATGCTTGTTAAATGACTGCTTAGGAAACATGAGTTAAACACTTTCTTTAATTCATCTTTTCTTTTATAAACTTTAAAGAACCATTTACAAACGAAGGCAAAACTAATTAAGTTCCTGATTATATCATGCCATGGAATGACTTGTTGAGAACATCCACCACCGTGTCTCACGGAAATGATTCACCTGCGCCATCTGCGGTCCTCTCACTTCAAGAAAATGACTTCATTTCGCATGCATCAAGTTCTTAGTGGTGCCGTCTTTAAAGTTTTTGAATACACAAGTTTTCTCAGCGTGAGAAGTAATTTCTTGAGATAATATCAACACGATGCCA